CGGGTGGCCGCCCGCGCCGCCGCCGCCGCCGCCGCCGTACACGCTGTACTGCATGTTGAAGGAGCTCACGTCGGAGTTGTTGGTGCTGGTGTGGTCGCTCTGGCTCTTCTTCCTGCGCTTCACGACCAGCACGAAGAGCCCGGCGGCCACGAAGACCGACATGATGAACACCAGCAGCAGGCTGAGGATCAGCACCGACAGGGGCACCGACGACGCGCCCCCGCCCGCGCCCAAGCCCGCGGGGGCCCCGGTGCTGTTCAGCCGGACGGCGGGAGTCACAGCGCTGGTCCCGGCCGGGAGCTGGATGGAGGAGGGGGTGGGCGTGGACACCACCACGTCCGAGTAGTCCGGGCACAGCAGCTCCGACTTGATGGAGCGCATGTCGCTCTCGGCGAACTTCTTGGGCGCCTTGCAGATCACCTCGTCGACGAGGACGCCCACCTTGAGCTGCTCCACCCACAGCTTCATGCCCACCACGTCGCAGGTACAATCCCAGGGGTTGTCGTGCAGGTCGATTTGGATAAGTGAGGTCAGCTGGTCCAAAACTCCACTCACCGGCAAGGAGGTGAAGTGGTTACTCCTCAGGTTTAGCCTGAGGAGGGTCAGGCCAGAGAAGACGCCCGAGGGCATGGCCTGCAGTAGGTTGTTATTCAAGAATAGCAGCTGGAGATTTGGGACCGGGTCGAACGTTCCGGACTGAATCTCCCGTATGAGATTGTACTGGAGGAAGAGATACTGCAGGCTCTGCAGGCCGTAGAATAACTCCGGGCTCAGCCTCTCGATCCTGTTGCCATTCAGGTAAAGGCGCCTCAGGTTGGCGAGATCCCCAAAAGCACGGTCCTGGATCATGGAGATGCGGTTGTTCCCCAAGTGCAGGAGGTCCAGCCCCGTGGCCTCCAGGAAGTCTGTCCTGCGCACGACAGCGATGTAGTTCTCTGTCAGATACATCTTCTTGGGATTATAGGGTTTGGGCTGCAGCTCCGCGATGCTCTCGATCTTTCGCTCCTGGCAGTTGACATTGAGGCCCAGATCAGAGATCTGCAGGTTGCAAGTGCACGCGGTGGGGCACTCCAAAGGCACCGGGGATTTGGTCTGGTAGGCGATGCTGGGGCCATAGTTGCTGTAGCCCAAGTCCTTGGAGGGTTGCCGAGAGGTGGGGCGCACCCTGGGCTTGTTGGGTTGGCGGGTCCCCTTCGGGGGCTTCAGAGGGGGTTTGTAAACAGCAGAGGAAGAAGTGGCCACGGAATTCACCGAGGCCGGGGTGGTGTGTAAATAACCCGTGGTGCTCAAAGGCGTCTGCGGCCTCATCTCATAGTCGGAAATGAGTTTCCTTGGGCAAAGCTCCTGCTTGGAGACCTCATCCAAGTCCCTGCCGTGTAAGCGGAAGGGGGTCTCACAAACCACATCCCCCACCAGGGCAGAGTAGGAGATGCTGTCCAGCCAATCCTTGAGAGAGATCAGCTCACAGGAGCAATTCCAGGGGTTTTCCTCCAGCTGTAGTTCCACCACTTTATCCATGTGCTGCAACAGCCCCACGTAGGGCAGAAGTTTCAGGCGGTTCCCCCGGAGGTCCAAGTGCGTTAAGGGCACGAAACGGAAAAGATTGTTGGGTAAACTGGACAAGAGATTGTCATTGAGGATAAGCACCTGCAGCAAATGCAGTCTCCCAAAAGCATTGGGTTCGATGACGCTGATGTAATTGTAATCGACCTGTAAGTACTCCAAGTTTTCCAAGCCAAGGAAGGTATCATCGCGCAGAAGTTCCAGTTTATTGTTGTTCAGATGCAATCTCCTCAAACCCCGCAGCCCGTGGAAAGCCCCGGTCTCAATGTCCTGGATAACATTACTACCCAGATGCAAAATCGAAGCCCCAGTATAATTGACAAACTCATTGGGATAGAGACGGTTCAGAAGGTTTCCAGACAGTAAGAGGTGGTAGATTGGGAAGCGGGGAGGGCTAATTTCAGAGAGACTGATGATCCCCCGGTTTTCACAGCTCACAGTTAAAATACCGTCCTTTTCCTCACAAGGACATGCATTGTCACAGATTTCCCCATAATAATCGATGGTTTCTGCACACGAGAGGACGAGAGATGTTACAGCAAACGCTAGAGTCTGCAGCATCCAGCTATGCATTTTTCTGTGAAGGTCCTGTTCCAAAGTTACTGGGGGGCAGCAAGTGTGCATTTTACCTCCTGTAAGGGAGAGAGGAAACAAGGAAATGACAGAATATGACGAAAATTTAAGGGATCATTCAGAAAGTCTCTCTCTTTCTTAGTACTGTTACTCTGACATCCAGAAGGAGGGGATATAAATGACACCCCCCCCCACACACACACACACACTGGAACATTGACATTCTCCAGATTACATTAAAATCTGATGTTCATTTTGATTTAAGGGTTGATTTCATTTTCTAATGAGCAAGCCACAAATACGCTGCTTTTTACAAGAAAAGGGCAGGTTAGATATAGTCCCATTTCAGTGTTCTTCTGTGCCCCCCCCTTTCAAAACCAATCCATAAATATACATAAAATGGCTGTCATTTCAGTATCATGGTTCTAATTTAAGAGAAAAGAAGCACCATTTTACAAGGTTCCACACCTCACCTATACCCAGTGCCCCCCCCCCTTTCTTTCAGAACCTCTTCAGTTAACAGTTCACCACGAAGGTCTCCCATTTTCACAGAAAGGCAAGGAGCCACAATACTTGGGCTATTTTAAACCATCACTAGAAACGCCAGGGTGGAAGCCTAAAGAAGACTTTTCTGAAGCAAAAAGGGTGTAAGATATAATGCATCAAAGGGAGCCTGAAGAAGCTCTTAAATCACCAATTGTCTTCCGGAGCTTTGAGTGTGGAGAACAAGGCGAGCGCCTTGGCTTTGATGGTGGACTTCACTGCCACGCTATTAAGCACATCAGCGTCCTAATTGCATGCACGGTGCCACTTAGCAGCGCTTCCCTGAGAGCGCCCTACGACCACTTCTCCTCATTGATCATGCCGGCGACGCGACCAAACTGCATCTTTAAGCCACTGAAATAGTTCTGCACGATGGATTACAAAGAACTCAGCGAAGGCATCCGCAGTCTCGGAACACCTCCCGATACCTTGAGTTTTAAAAGGACGTCTCCTACCGCTTACCGGAATCAGCTAAAAGTAAACCAAGGACCGGCGCCAAAGCCTCCCTTACCTTGGGTTCCACGTCTACTTGTCACGGTATGCAAAACTAACCCGACTGAATTAGCGACGTTTGGACTGAACTACCACCTCGACAGCATCCCCATCTTTGGACTTGCTTATTACATTTAATTGTTAATGTTCTCCTTCCCCCAACCCCCCCCCCCCTTATTTCTCAGGGAAAGGGCTGATTAACCGGCAAAATATTAACGTGGGAGGGGGAAAAGCAAATGACTTAGGTCAGTGCTTTCAAATCCAAATTTCATCTCCCCCAAGGAATCAGTGTGACCTCTCCCCCTTTTCTTTCTTGCTTTCTTTTTTGTCCCCTTGAAGGCTTCCTTCTACTCCCTACTCCTGATCGACAGCAGCACTCTTAAAGGACATAAATAGAGTGAGTGTGTGAGTGTGTGTTGTGTTGGTTAGCGGGGCGGTGGGGTGGGAGGGTGGCATTTGAGAGAAATACTGGGCTCTGGGAACCTTTGCCTTTTCTCTGGTCAGCCTTGCCTTTGCCTCACCACCTAAGTCTGATGTCAAATCGCAACCCAAAACTAAAGCCAAGACATTTCTGAGACAACGGGTTCAAGCCTGGAGACCTTGTTCCTGATCCCCAAGTCGACTCCAGCCCGCGTTATTAAACGCCCCTGCATTCACACGCACATGTGCGAGTGTGCCTGCGAATCATTCACGTGTGGCCACCCAGACGTGTCGAGACGAATCAGAACCACAGTGCATAAACCTCGCAAGTATCCCCGACCTCCCCACGGAACGGCAAACGGCTCCTGGCTCAAGAGCGGCAGAAACATCCCCTATGAAAGCAAAACGTTTACCTTGAAATTTCAGTTCTCCGCTGGATCAAATCTGCACATCCATTCAGCGAGGTTGGGTCCCCTCCCCCTCCTACCCTGTGCTTCCCCGCCCCCATTCGCCACCCACCCCATCCGAAAGCCCATTGCAAATTGTGTCCAGCCGGTATTAAACTCGAGCGTTTACAACTTTAATTCAGTTCTGGATCGCAAGGGTCAAAGAGCTTCCTCTCACCCCACTCCCTTCCCCCTCCTCCTTCCCATCAAAGGAGACCTAAAATTTGAGAAAATAAAGTTGAATGAGCCGGGGAAGGCTGACATTCTGACTGGGAAACGCATCTCCGATGTAAATTCGCGGGTGCGCTGTACATTCTCAGATTATCAGATTTTTTTTGAGGGCGGGGGCGGGGGGGGCTGTATTTGTTTTTGCCTAAAGAATTTGGACACTGGATCACCGCCCTTCACATCCCTGCACTGAGCAGCATGGAGCTGTTCGGGCTGGAGCCCAGCACCCAGGCCGGACCGGAGGCTCTGGGCACAGCTGCTCGAGCGGCCGCCCAGGCAGAAGCACCCGGAGTTCCAGGACGCGAGGCTCCCCCTCCCCCACGCCGCCCCAAAGAGAAGGAAGGGAAAAGGGAGGAAGAAGGGGAGGGAGGAGAGGGAAAAGAAAGCCACCCCGCCACACACGCGCACACACACATACATACACACGCGCGCGCACACACACACAC